CCCCCCCAACAAAATGAAGCTGGCCAGGACGGCCCTGAGAGGCCCTGGGGCCCCCGGCCACCCCCATCTCCCGGGCCAGCGCTCCCCCTTCTCTCCCCCATGGACACTTCTCGGCCCTTCCTCCCCACCCCTCCCATGGTCTCCAAGCTCGGGGTCACCCCAGGGTCCCGGGACACCTGGGGCCGCTGGGTCCCACATGCACTTGACATATTAGGAAGTGGGGGCCCAGCGGGGAGAGGGGCTTTCCCCAGGTCCCGCTTCGAGTAAGGAGCAGAACTCCAGGCAGCAGGGCACACCCCGGGCCAGCAGACCGGCCAGCTCTCTGCTGGCTTCCTGGAATAGAAGTGCGTGTTTTTGTTTCACACCCTTTGCTTTGTAGTAGTGGCCTGCTGGCCTGCTGGCCCCGAGGGACAGGCCGGGGTGCCCGGGGACCCACCCCAGGCTCTAGAGGTGGCGGCCGGTGTGACCAGCCCCCCAGGCCCTCCCGGACAGCTGACAAGCCCCTAGACCAGGCTTGAAATGTTCTGGGTGTTTGCGGAAGCCAGTTTACGCTCGATGGTGCCGCCGATCGCAGGCGGCGAGGCACGGCGGAGGGGACCCCAGGCTGGCTGCAGACACCCCTAACCCCAGGCCTGCACCTGGAAGGAAGACCCAGAGCTGAGGGACTCCCCGGGGCACAGGGTTAGAGCGCAGCACTGTGAAGCCGGCCGCAGCCACTGCAGCAGGAGTTCGATCCCCGGCCGGGTGGCGGGGGGCCCCCAGGGCTGCTCCCCGCGGCTCCCTCAGCAGTGGGCTTCAGTACATCCGCCTCCTCTGTTTCCCACTCTGCCTCTGGGGAACCCTTACCCGCCCCTCTGGCCTGCACCCCAGCTCCGGTGTGCATAAATAAATCAGCCTTAAAAACAAGGAACAAGAACTGGAGAGAACCCCAAGACCACGCTCTCGGTAATCAGAGCGAAGCTAAGGACCCCGGAGGCGCCCCAGAACTGCCCGCTGCAGGTGCGGAGGGC